GGGTTTAGAGTACACCGGGTGAACACATCGTTCACAACACCTACAAGTTGCGAGCCTGCTAGTGTTCCACTGGACTGTCTAGAATAGTCCGTGGTTGTCATCCATACTCTGCTAGATGACAGGGCCAACCATTTGGGAACAAGGCTTCTCACATCGTCCACCTCTCACCCTTAACTCATGGTCTATATCACCTCTCAACTCATCATCCAACTCATATTTCAACTACCTATGTTTTACCCAGCATATTATGTAGATATAAATACATATACAGTTTAAATCATATAAAACTTGTATAAAATCGTTCATCCAGCATAGATAGCAAGTATACATATAATATGCACACATAGCACGTAGTTTATATAAAATACTTCATATCTATGTGTAAGATGAAAGTAACTATGCACTCACTTGATAAGGTGGTGACTCGGTACTCGGACATCGCTTCGTTTACTTTAAAATAATTTCCTTCGACGAAACCTAGTATTATTACCACTAGATTTTAGTCTAATATTTACCGTGACTAATTATTAGTCTTTATTATTATTATTATATAAACGTTTAAACAATACTTTCCAACCACTATGTACAGACAGGGGCCAGACATAAAACACCGGAGGGCAGGACCATTTTGGCATATAGCACTTCTGAAATCCAACAACCCTATGTGGCCCTTTAAACCAGATTCCCCGTACCGCGAGTAGTTAAAAAGATATTATAACGACACTTATATAAATCATAATAATAGCTCAAATATTTATTATAAGTTCATAATAACAATACTAATTTTAAATATAAGTTATATTAAAATAGGGTAAGCATAACTTACTTACAATGAGGTTTTAGCTAGGAGTCGGGCTCTGCAGGGGCAGAACTTCGTCGCTGAATCTTTCTAAGAAAGATTCGTGCAGCGCTTCAGCGCTCACCTTACTATACTAAAACTATAGAAAGAGAAGTCGAATCACGAGGGGACCGAAATGCTCGGGGGATAAGAAGAGAAAGACTCTTGAATCAAGAGAATGGTGCAAGAAATATGAGAGCCCAAGCCTCTTATTTATACTAATTGAATTTACAAAAACTACCCTCCATAATTACTTTATGACCTTATAGTTATATAAACGACTAAACACCCCTTCATAATATTATTTTAAATAGATTTAAGGATATGTGTACTAAACTAATGTCGAAAGTACTCAACACTAGTCTTATAATAACAGCATCGTCGATACCTTTCTAATGATATATACATTTGTATATATATGTGTACGTATATATGATTTATACTTTATTTTAATACGTAAATATGCTATTATAATTTGTAACCCGTTCATACGAACTCCACTTTTGACGTTCTTTATATCCACGCGTTGGTATTTACGAGTGCTACAACTTTCATTTAGACGCCGTCAGCTAATTCTCATTCTATCTCAGATTTACAAAACTGTATCGAATTTATCGCGCTCGAAGAGTAGAGGCTAAGCTTCGTCCATAACTTTCGCATACGAGCTCCGTATTTGACGTTATTAATATCCGCGCGTAGGTAAAAATAAAAATCTACAACTTTCCTTTTTACTCCGTCGGCTAGTTCTCGACCGATCTTAAATTTAACAGTAGGAGGTGATTACACTGTTAAATGTCCGCGTAAAATTCAAAACTTTTACATACGGACTCCGTTTTCGTCTGTCTTTTTGTCGTTGAGTTCCTATTAATGAGATCTTCAATTCTCATTTAGGTCGCGTTGGCCAAAAACCGCTCGATCTAAATTTCGAATTCCGGGCTGTGCACTGCTATGCAAAAATCTTAGAAAAATTATAACTTCCTCATACGAAGTCAGATTTGGGCGTTCTTTTTATGTACACTCTCGGTTTAACGTATACTACGACTTTTGTTTAGATTGCTAAGGCTAAAAAGTCTTCTATCGTAAAATCACTATTTACGTCTCTCGGTGTCGTGCCGGTTTTGCCGTAAAACTTCGACGGGCCATAACTTCTTCGTTATAACTCGGATTTTGACATTCTTTATATGTACGGAACCCTTGTAACATATACTACAACTTAGTTAAGATTAATCCTTCTAAATAATCTTCCATCAAAAACTCATTTTTGATGCTCATCGTCTCTAAATTGACTAGCCCGGATATGCGGGCGTTACATAGATCCACAAATGTTGTTTTCAAAAGAATTGGTTTTGCCATCTAGAAAGGGCTAGCGGTGCAGCTTGTTGCTCGTTTGCCTTCAATCGATATGTATTGAACTATTATAATTAAAGGAATTCCAAATTTATTGGATGTTTAAAGGATGAAACCATTACAAATTCCACCATCCGAGTAACACTATCAATACACAAATAACCATTCACCACATGTAAAAGGCGTTTTCACATCACACAAGGGATTTACACATGTTTATCAACAATGTCTCGACACAAAGAAGATGTTGAAATTAATGTCAAACCCATGACATGTTTGTTGAATACACGACATTTGAGTCAACTAACACAAGTCTTTATTTATATTATCACACAATACGTGTTATTGATGCACCGCCCATCCATGTGCCTGATCCAAGAAAACATATATATAAATTTTTGATTGGTCAAGAAAAATTAGAGTCGTTTTTTGGTAGATTACTAGGGAGTCTAAATAGATCTAGTTGTAACATTAGTAAAGTGGAATTAAAGTTTTAACTTCTAAGTTTAAATTTTTATAGATAAGATAATTTTTTATTTAGTTAAAAATGTTATTTAAAATGTTAACATTTAAGAAAATGTATTTTAAAAATAGGATTTGACTTTTCAAGATTTGGAGTTAATGTATTTGATCTTGACTAACCATTTTGAACTAGATTTTGGATTTATTTTGTAAGGATATTAACTTTAGGTTTGAAATGGAATTTTAAGGACTTAGAAGTTTTAAATACAATGTTATATTTGGTTAACTGAAAAATAGAAAGTTAGAAGGACATTTTTTTTTTTCAAAAATGAAAGTTTGGATCACTAACCTGTAAAACCTTTTCATTATGAATGTTTTTTTTTGTGTGGAAAAGAGAAGGAAGTTTGCTCTTAAAGAAAGAACTCAAAATTTATGTGAAATTAAAGTCTCATTAGAGTTCAAACACTTGTTGAAATAATTTGATCCTCATAAAAACTGTTTTATGATGACACATTGGTCTTGATAGGTTGATGAGAGGTAAGTGGAGGTTGGTTCACTCTTATGCTCCATTTATGATGGGACTATAGAATCCCCATATCACTTGTTTGCAAGATATCTATTCATGAATTTTATATAACGTTAGACAGTTTGATAATGGAATCTCCATTTTCAAAGCTCGATGATGGAATCTTCATTTTCCCGTGTTCTCTTTGGCAAAGAAGAAGTGGTTGTGTTAGGTGGGATTATACAAAACTCAATGGGGGAGAAAAGAAAGGTCTTACATGTCGTAATTTTAATGGTCGATTTTGATAAAATTATATATCAATTGTTTTATTTTTGCTTTCTAACAGATATAGCAAAAGAAAGAAAATACCTATACATGATGAATACATCAGCCTACTCTAATTTTTTTTATTCTTATATTTTTTGCTAATTTCTAACTATTTTTTAATATTTATATTTTCTGCTAATTTCTAACTATTTTTTTAATAAAATATTAATTGTTTAAAAAAATTGTAAATTTAGCCAAATACATTAATTACTTTGTGGAAAATAGCAAAAAAAAACCCAAAATTACAAAACTAGCCCTTAAAATCGCAGATGGACTAAGTCAATCTGTGATTTCGCATTTCTATCTGCGAACGTACAAGTGCCTAAAGCACATCTGTGCTTTAGGCACTTGTACGTTCGCAAATGGAACAGTCCATCTGTGAATTTGTACATTCCATCTGTGATTTCGTAGCTATTTTGTATAAAATGTTTTTTTTTCACTATCTTGTTTAGAGAAACTTTCTCTTTCCACCTCCCGCCAGTTACAACGCAAACCAAATATTCATTCATTTTTTTAGAGAGGTTTTAAACAAATTTTCCAAAGAAATAACAACAAAAATGATAATTTTTTGAAAAATTTTATATATAAATAAGGTTGTTCCGTAGTTAAACCCTATCAATTTCGTAGTCAAAATAATAATAATAATAATAATAATAATAATAAAATAACACACAAAATCGTAGGTGAATAGAGAGGAAATCGCAGATGGACATAGTCCATCTGCGATTTTAGGCTGGAAAGGGGTTATATATACAATAGGAAAAAAAAACCACCTGCGAACGTACAAGTGGCTAAAGCACGTGTGTGCTTTAGCCACTTATACTTTCGCAGATGGAATGACGAAATCACAGATGAATTATATCCATCTGCGATTTTAGTGCGATTTTAATGGCTAAAAATACAATTTTGGTTTTTTTGGCTATTTTTCACAAAGTAATTAGTATATTTGGTTAAATTTGTAATTTTTTTTAAAAAAAGTCATAGTGGATTAGTGGTTCATTACTATCAGCAATTCCAGATAAATATCTTATTCTTCTTTCTAGGCTTTTTCGTTGGTAGGACCAAGTTTAGTTGATCGGATGGCATGGGATGAAAATTGTAATATTTATGACCAAAAGTACAATAAATTCCCAAAGGGGAAGTTTATACAAACGTGGGATTACTCAAGGGACTATTTATGCAGTTCCTTCAAGATTCCCTGCGATTTCATACGAGCAAAGAGCCACAACATCATCCAGCCGTCCATTTTTATACCCCACCTCCCCATCCAACAGTAGATAAACGTCCCACGTCACATTTTTCTTATCATGAAACAAACAGCTCTCATTCCACCACGTGTAACTGTCGATGCGTTATTACTACCTCGATCCGACGACCGTCGTACTTTTTCTTACAACTAAACGCTTCTTACAGGCCCCAGGCTTCCCGGAGCTCCGGCGTACTCATCACAGCCGGAGGATTACTTGAGCTTCGCGCCAAATAATCCGAATTATCCTTTGAAAAGATTAGATAATCAACCCTATGGCGGATTCGGATAACGAATCAGGAGGTCACAACGCCGGCGGCGAGTTATCGGCGAGGGAGCAGGACAGGTTCCTGCCGATTGCAAACGTGAGCCGGATCATGAAGAAAGCGTTACCGGCAAACGCGAAGATCTCGAAGGATGCAAAGGAAACGGTGCAGGAGTGCGTATCGGAGTTCATCAGTTTCATCACCGGGGAAGCATCCGACAAGTGCCAAAGAGAGAAGAGGAAGACAATCAACGGCGACGACTTGCTGTGGGCGATGACGACGTTAGGGTTTGAAGAGTACGTGGAGCCTCTGAAGGTGTATTTGGCAAAGTACAGGGAGATAGAAGGGGAGAAGACGACGTTGGGAAGACAAGGCGAGAAGGATGGGTCATCTGGAGGTGGTGGTGATGCGGCTGCTGGCGGTGGAGGGAGTGGTGGCGGTGTAAATTCGGGTGGGTATAATGACGGCGGTGGAGGGATGTATGGAGGGATGCAGAACAACATGATGATGGGTCGCCACCACCACCAGATGTACAATTCGGGTTCTTATCATCATCAAATGGGTATGGGGGTAGGGAGTCCAAAGGGCAGTTTGGGCAGATCGGGCAGCATCGGTGGTGGAGGTGGTGGAGCTTCCACTACGAAGCCTAGGTAGGTGTTCGCTGAAATATTTTTAAAAAATCAACTTTTTTTTTTCTAGTCTTTTCTAATATATTTTTAATCAGTCTCATTAACATGTGGAATTTTCAAATATAATTCAACAATCTTATTTTGTTTTACTTTGTAAATAAATAATTGTTAATGAAATGTGTAATTATTTTTCATGTAAAAGTATTATTTTATTTTTGAACGGCCATGTTAATATTTGTATGAGATTGAACTCACGACTTTTTGGTTAGAAATTCCTGTTTAGACACCTTGTTAACATTTTTTTCTTTCTAAAATGAATATTATATTATACCCAATGTTTTAAAAACCGGTTTTTTAATTGAACCGGTCGGGTGACGTTTTCCGGTTTAACCGGTTCAACTGGATGGTCAAACTGGTTCTATATTTTTATATGTTTTTAATTATCCCGCATACATTAATTACAAAACTTGTCGTTTTTTTAGTATTACAGATGTAAATAAAATGCAACATATAAAAACAATCATTATATAATCCAAAATCAAACAAAGAAGCCCAAAACAAACACAAAAATTCAAGACTGTCCGGTTGAATCCGGTCCATTCCTCAATTCAACCGCTTGAACTGGTTTTTTACCAAAATTGGCCGGTTCAATCCGGTCAGAAAATCGTCATAAAACCGGTCCAAATCGAACCATCCTCACCTCCGGTTCAACCGGCCGGTTCGAACCGGTTTTTAAAACACTGATCATACCATATATTATTAGAAAATATATTAATTAGAAATGAGTCGAACATATTATTAGATTTTATATTTTGTCATAAATTTTTTGGATATTTGTTCGTTTAGCATTTATGATTTTGTAATTTACAGAAAACATCATGTGATATATTTAAGATTTTATACGTTGGCAGTTCTGACCATATATAAAAAAATAAATTACAAAAATTGTTTTTGTAATTTACAGAAGAAAATGTGTTTGTGTATTTTTTTTGGGTAAATGTTACTGTAACCCAACTAACTATCGGGTTTTGTTTCAAAAGGTCTCTAATATTATTTTTTTGTAGTTTAGAGGCATAAAGTCAATTTTTACCTACTAAAAAGGGACTTTGACTTGTAATTGTCGTTTTCCTTCATGTTTAAGCTTTTTTCACTAAAAAGAAACATTAAATTAAAATACATCTCATCATGTCACTCGTGTCCTCACCCACCACAAACTTATGTTCATCTTCACGAACACCCACCCTCCCTATTCTCAGTCATAGACCTTCACATGAATTGTTCGTCTCTCCAAGATTTCACCTTATTCAGATCAGGTTTCACTCTCTGCTAGGTATCTTTGGTTAGAATGTAACACCCATAAAATTTGAGCAAATTTAAAACTTTTTAAATCATATAAAATCATTCAGTTATTACAGTTTATTTTTAAAATAGTTTAAACATCAGAGTTCCCAGAAATCATAATCATAAATCGAGGAAGTGTACGGTCACGCATTCGCCTTCCCGCGGCCATCCGCTGAACCTGAAACAATAAACTAAAACTGTAAGCCCGAAAGCTTAGTGAGTTACCCCCAAAATACCAACTTCATACAACCATAACATATCATATAACAAACACAGAACAGCCATGCATCTCGAGTCTACAGTGTGACTGATCCGCCCGTATCGGGCCTTCAGTCCACCTGGTCCCCTCTCTGAGTCTATAGTCTAATTGGACCGCCCGCACCGGGCCTTCAGTCTATCTAGTCCACTCCGAACCTCGGCACGTCTGGTCCGCCCTCTCGGGGACTTCAACCTATCCGGACCGCTCGCCGGGCCTTCAGCCTGACTATGTGTCCTCGTGAGCCTGCAGTCTATCCGGTCTGCCCTGGGTATGTTGGCCTACAGCACAAAGCAGGACCCGCCTCAACCCAACCCCCATTCCAATCAAACAATCATGTGAACATAAATATCATACGCTAACATGTATATAACATATAATCATACCGATCTAACAGATCACTAACATAGCAACCATCCTATAACCAGGATACTGACCTAACCGGTCACTAACGTAACATCCAGGATACCGACCTAAACCAGGTCGCTAGCATAATACCATCCTAACTACCAGGATGTAGATCTAACAGATCAATAAACATATCAAGCAATTACCCGGATACAAATCCGATAAAGGGTCGGCCTTGGTGTCGTACACCCTGTTGATATAGTGAGGATAACTCACCTCGTAAGTAGCTTGGAAGGTGGTGTCAAACTCCTCAAAATGTAGCTCCAACTCCAACACCTATATTCACCAATGTCCTTTGCTATAAATATCAAATTTATCAAAATACCCTCAGGAGTCAACTGGTCAACCCTTGGTCAAAGCCAAAGTCAACTGTCAAGGTCAACAATCAATGTTGACCTTAACTCGTCGAGTTCCTTGCATAACTTGCCAACCCGCCGAGTCACTCGTGTGACTCGTCGAGTTCCTAGTGTCAGTGGCCGTAACTCCTTGGCCAACTCGCCGAGTTTTTCCTTTATAACTCGCCGCGTTCATACGTGTCCAAAGGTTGGGAAAACCCTCGCCGACTCGCCGAGTCGTTCATACAACTCGCCGAGTCTCTTCAGTCCTTTATTCATACAGACGATTTTAAGTCATGCTAAGGCTCCAGATTGTAGGTCCAGCTTCCCAATGCATGTTTATCACGTAAAGTTGCAAACTTTACGTGCATGCAAGGCTCTAATGACTCATAATGCCAAATCTAAACTTGAAATGGAGTTTAACTCAAAAGGAAGGGTTCATACTTGCTAGAGTTGTAAGCTTTATGGACCTAAAGACCAAGGAGAGTTCAGATCTGAAGTTTTAACTTCAGATCTTAGCTCTTACCCAAGAATAGCTTCATATCATGATGAAAATCCCTAATCTTCAACCCAAAAGAGATCTAGAAGGAAAGAAGGTCAAGGTAACGACTTGATACCTTCAAATGGTGCTATCTGAGGTAGATTTTAGGTCCACACAAGCTCATTGTTGCTAGCTACTTGATCTTCAAGTTCCTTTCTCTAAGAATCTTCTTCCAAGGGTTGAAACACACAAATGGATCACACACACACACACGTATTAGGGTTTTGCTGAACTCTCTAGAGGCTGCAAAGGGAGGCTAAGGGGCAAATGATCCTTTAAATAGGGTGCAAAACCCCGAAATTTAGGGTTTCATCCTCCAGCTCCTACTCGTCGAGTCCCTTCTTGGACTCGGCGAGTAGGTCACTTAAGTGTGCGGCCTAACCCGCTGCTACTCGACGAGTCAGGCAACCAACTCGTCGAGTAGACCTTGAATTCATGAGAATTTATCACCATAAATTGATATTCGAGAATCGGGGCGTTACATAGAATCTCTTTTTCATTTCGATTTCCATGTATATACAAGTCGGTGAAGCTGCACAACAGCCCAACAAGGATGTTTATTCGGTTTTTTCTTCATTTGATTTCCTTGGTTTGAATCTCTTCTTCATTTCGAGTTTCATGGTTCTACAAGTTGGAAGGCATGAGTTTGAGCTACATGTAATTGTTGTGGGAGTTGGGAGGAAGATGAACAAAATTGTAGTGTCACCAACTAAAATTGAAAATCAAAACCCACATCGACTTGGTGCTTGTTCGTGGAAGGGGAAAAATAGTTAACCTACATCGAAGATCAATACAAGTGCATATTTCACTTGTTTTTGTTTTTGTTCGTTGATAATCTTGCTTGGAAACCATCTGGAATCGTTTTGCCCAAACCTATAATTGTTTTTGTTCCAGATGTCTGTGTTCTTAATTCCTTACCATCAATTGAAGAAGGGGGTGAGAGACACACACAACAACAAGAAATACCCCTATTCTTGACTCGAAGAGGAAGAGACCACCTAAACCCATGTATTTCGATTTCCAATTTCTTTTGGGGCCTACACATAGGATACACAGGTGGTTGCGAAAAGTTTGATTTATTTTGGGATTATCCATGACAGATCGTTGTGTTCATTTCACATTCACGAACAAGAGAGGTGGTAGAGATGATGAGAGATCGAGAGAGAGAGAGAGTGTGTGTGTGTGTGTGTGTGTGATGACATTGGAGACTGATGGTAAGGCCTTATGTGGTGGTCAATGGCAGAAAATGGTTGTGAATTAGGGCTTTTCATCGGCGCTGACTAGGTGATCATCGATGATTGTCAACGTACTAGCGAGCGAGTAAGGGGGCAACCAAGGAGGCTTTGGCTCTTGCACTTCTGGAACTGCACTTATAGAGCAACAATTTAACCGGAGGAAAAGAGCGACATCTTAACTGATGAAGGGGGTGTGGCATCTTACTTGATGAGGTGGATTTGTGATTTAATGGCATGGATTTTAATCTGTGCTGACTATGCTTCTAACTTGTGCTGACTAGACTGTTAGCCGGTAGTAAGTCAAGGATTTCAAAAATAGTGACCTTTTAAAATTTAAAAGTGAAGTTTTATACACCTATAATGTAAGAAAAAAAGATGAGGAACCTTTTAAAACAAAACCTCATAGTTGGTTGGGCTACAGTGACATTTACTTTTTTTTTATAGAAACATTATGTGTGTTAGAAAAAATAAAAGACTACTTTGTACCTAATAGAAAATTTGCATATTACTCCCCCACATTATATCGTCGTGTTTCATCCCTACATTTCTTTGTTTTCACACTTTCGCCACATGAGTTTTATATATTTACACGTTTAATTCTTATATTTTCGTAGTACATTATTTCGACCCCCTACGCAGCGGGATAGTAACTTACTGGTCAAAGTTGACTTAAAAGATATTAGTAGTATGTTAAATATGTCTTTAATTGGTGTAAGAAATAGTTAATGGATTTAAACGTTATTTAAATGTTTTAAATTTGAATAAAACTTGTTCTTTATTTAGCTTAATTCTTACTTATATAGTTCTATAGTTGAGCTATTTGAGTTTAATAATCTAATATAGTTTTGAGAGAATACTGAATTATTCAAGCTTTAACATTAAAAAAAAATGTCGAGCCATTCAGGCCTT